AATTAAAAAAAAAAAAAAAGTGCCTTAGAACAACTCAATTCTCCGACTCCCTGCCTCCAGACCTCAAGAACCTCCCAGGGGCTCACCTAACCTTCCCAGGCCACACCCCTCAGCCTTTCTCCAGGCCCCGCCCCCTCCGGAGCCTACGAGGCCTTCCTAGCCCACCCGAACCCGGTTGGCAGTACCTGACCCATAGCGCACGTCGTGTGAATGCAGTCGCACGTTGTGGCGCGTATTGAGTAGCTTTACCACAGAACCGCATGTAACGACAGCCGGAGTGGACGCTCCCACAGCACTCCACAAACCCCCAAACAACAGTAGCGATACCACAGCCATCCTGGCTGTGCCGCGGTGCCCTTAACCCACTAAGAAAACTCGGCCCCTCCCCGGAACCGGAAGCTACGAAAGGAACCAGAGAGAGGAGGAAATGAAGGAGCCCTAATTTGCTCTTTATGGTTCCTTTGGCTAGAGCGGCCTGAGGAACGGGCTAGGCCTGGTTACTTCCAATCCGCTAGCTCTGTTCCCGGGGCTCTGTTCTGAAAGCTGCCTTCCTGAACCGCTTCTGCCAGTTTTCGCTCTTTCTTGGTCAAACCCGGGGGAGCCGGGTGGGGAAGAGAGCAAGAAATGGCCCGCCCACTCCCAGTGACAGGGAGCCGGAAGTGACGTAGCACGTTGACGCAGCAGCGGCGGCGGTGGCGGCGGAGGGTCCGTGCGGTGGGTCCTTACTATCCCTTCCCAGTCTTGGTTTGACGACTCCATTTTCCTTGGTGGGGGCTTATCGCAACGGAGAAGCGGCGGACTTCAGGTAGGTGAAGTTCGGACTGGAAAGCGTGCTCCTCGAATGGGTCAGGTGGGGACCCAGGCTCCTAGGGCCTGGTCCCGTAAGGAAAAGGTATTGGGGAGTCGTATGCAGGAAGAACGGGGGCCCCTGGCCTTCCCAGCTCCATGAGGGAAAAGAAGAAGGAAAGCAGGGTAGTTACTGAGAGTCTCAAGGCTCTTCCGAACCCTGTGCCACCCAGAGTCCGTGAATTGGGCTGCCTGTTGGATCAACAGGCTTTTTCGGATACCGTCCTTCTGTCGTAGCTTCTGAAAACTGGGCCACACGAAAGCTCTGGAAATGGAACGGATCTGGGGCTTCTGAGAGTGGATCAGGTGATTGAGTGGTTTGTTCTGAGGATGTGATACCTATGAAGCTTTCAGCAGCTCGACCATTAGGCTAGAGAGCTATGCCACATTCCATCTTTCCATACTGTTGAATAGTAAACTTAGACCTTTTTGTAGGTTGCTAGCTGCATCCACAAACACCTACCACAAACATCAGAATGGGCTATTAAGTTAAAACTATTTTCTTGCAGTTTCTGCCTTTCTCTCCAGGCACTTCCCTGAACCAGCTGGAGTAGCATCATTTTCCTTGGTTGTTGCAAGAACTTATTTTTCTTTAAAAGGAGGCCTAAGCTTTCCGAAAATAATGCCCATGGAAATTCACTGTAATATCAGAAATAATAAGGGAGTATTAAGGTACACCATTGCTATTAATAAACTTGGAGAGTATGAACAATTTTGGATTTGATTAATTTCTTGGGGGGAGCAGCTAGTTCCACTGTTTATCTGAAAGTTACCAGTTTTTAAGTCTTCATTGTACTGATTACAAAAGTAGGATTGCTTCCCCCATCAGTGCCCTTTTCCATAACTTCTGCCCCTTCAACCAGTACAAGCCCATTCTTACTCAGTTGGTTCACCTGGCTACTAGATTCAATTAGCATAGCATTGTTGCTCCCAAAGCAGTTTAAACCTCATCAAGAGATTAAGTCACATCAGGAACTGCAGTCTAGCAAGGCTCAGTCACATTTTATAGTTCTCCCTCAGTAGATGTTGACAAGTAAGGAAGCCTACCAAATATGGTGGAAACATACGGTCTTTGGAGGCAAATAAATTTGCTCTTGCTCCCATGTTCTTGGTGTCAATAATGGCACCACAATCAGAATCCTGTGTGTATAATCCTTAGATTTTTCCTCTGTTATTCCCAATAAAATCAATCACCAAATCCTGTAAAAATCACCTCTCTATAAAAATCTGTTCCCATCAACATACAAATTATGTTCTTTCTGATACTCCTCTTTTCTGCCTCCAACTACTATCCTACTTTTTTTTATTTCCCTTAATAGCCAGATTTCTACCTGTGCCATCTTGCTTGGCTTTTATTCAGTTTTTACGCTATACCAATCTGGTTTCTCTTCTGACCACGCTGTTAAAATTGCTCTTATCAAGGTCACCAGTAAATATCCCAAACCTTACATGACAAAAAGAAAATTTTTGTTTTCCAGTCATTCCAAACCTGGTCTTCCCTGTATCACTTAGTACTGTCATCCACATGGTTACCAAAGCCAGACCTCTGAGAATCACCTTTGACCCTTCTCCCTTACTACCTCCATCCCCAAGTCTTCTAGTAAGTCCTATCACGTCTATCTCCAGAGTATGTTTCATATCTGTCTTCTGTTCTTCATCTTCACTGCAACCACCCTGTTCCCAGCCACCATCATCTTTTGCCTGGACTTTACAAGAGTGTCCTCAGTTTTCCTTGCTTCCACTCAGATCCCCTTCTGATCTGTTTTCCATGTTGCAGGATCAGGTCAGATCAGATCATGTTTAAAATGTTTAAAATGCTCTAATGCCTTTCCATGGCCTTCATAGCCCCACTTGAGAAGGCCTCTCCCTCACATTTTGCTGCCTTTGCTGCTCTCTGGTCACACTAGCCTTAGGACACCATATGCCTGTTTCTTTCCTGTCTTTGCTACTAGGAGCCTCTTCCCAGGCTTTGCATACCACATCCTACCCATTCTTGGTATCTCAATCTAAACTCACCTTCTCAGAGGTGAGGGTGTTTATTTCCTTCCTAGCACTTATAACGGTCTATATAATTTGTCGTATTTTTCTCCTACACCAGAATATAGGTATCTGAGGGGCAGGAACTTTGTCTTGCACATGTCTGACATGCAGTAGGCACTCATTAAATATTTGTTGAATTGGCAAGTAAATCAGTTTTGTTTAAAACCCCTCAGGGGCTTCCCAGCACTTTTCAAATAGAGTCCAGAATCTTAACTTATCCTACCAAGACACTTATGACGTCACCTCCAACTCACTATGAACCTTTCTTTCTCTTCCTAAAGTAGCCATCACTGTTCCTGCCACAGCAGCATATCCTGGGCTTGGTGCTGGGAGTGCTCTTCTCCAACACCACCACTCCTGGAACCACCTCCAAAGGAGCCAGCTCCTCTGCTTAGCTAGTTCCTCCTCAGTCTTAAAGTCTTTATTTAAAGTCACTTCCTCAAACCATGTTAAAACCCTCTATTACAGGCTCCCGTGGTACCTTTGTTATTAATTCTTTAAAGACCTCTACTTCTAAAACCTTTTTTTAATTTATTGATTTTAGAGGGAGAGAGGAAGAGGAGGAAGAGGGAGAGAAACATGGATTGTTCTCATCTGTGCATTCATTGATTGACCCTTCCTTGTGTGTGCCCTGACTGGGGATCGAATCAGCAACCTTGGCGTGTCAGGTGACACGCTAACCAACTGAGCTGTATGGCCAGGGCAGAAGATTGGAAGTCACAAATCTGACTCTCTTGGGGCAACTTAGATCATTCCCATTCATTATAGCTTGTCTATATCTGCTTTTGTGCTACAGTGGTAGGTCTGCCCTCTGTAATTTGCCAACCCCTGTGCTAGAGCAGGAACTGTAGTACTGTACATGTTTCCCAACTGTGGTACAAGGCTCAGTAGCTGTTACTCCCTCCTTGTGTGGCAGGGATTCTGAATCTGGTTACATATTTCAGTTGTTTCTGCTCTTCTCTTGCCCTTTTCTTGTTCCCCAAGGAAACTTGGTAAGTTTACTTAATAATTACTTATCATGTTAACCATTACTAGCAATAGTGCTTTCTGTACCCTGGCATTAAAAAGATTCTGAAATTAATTCTTATAAATATGGTGTGTGTACATGTTAAGATGATTATAGGTAGAAATAACCTCTTCTCTATTTTAACATCTTGATTTGGTGTAATTGGGATTTTTCATAACAGAGTTCTGAATCCCAAACTTGAAAGAACTTTGTATTACATGACTGAATACTTTTATTTATTAAACTTTTACATTTTTGGGTTCCAAATTGGGTAGTCATTCATGAAAATCTTTGAAATAGTCCTAGGCCCTCATTCATAAAATACAGAATGTCTTACCCTGGCCAGTGTGACTCAGTGGGTTGAAGCATCGTCCCATACACAGAAAGGTTGTGGGTTCCATTCACGGTCAGGGCATATACCTAGGTTGCAGAGTCAATCCCCAGTCAGGGTACTTATGGGAGACAACCGATCTCTCTCTCACATACCGGTATTTCTCTCTCTCTCTCTCTCCCCCCCTCCCTCCCTCTTCTTCCTCTCCCCCCTCCTCTCTCTAAAATCAATAAACATATCCTTGGGTGAGGATTAAAAAAATACGGAATATCTTGTGGCTTAAACTCCACACCAAACTCCTGGGGCTATTCCCCAGGCCACTAGGCCCTTTCAGACCTAAGCCTTTGCTCATGTTGCCCTTTTCCAGACTATCTTCTTAACTCCTCTCAATTCAGGCATCACCTTTTCTGAGGCATTTCCTGACCTCCCTCTTCATATTACTCTCATAGTCTTGGTATATAACTGCCATATAACATTATGTTTTGTCATAACTTTATAAGTGTTTTGAGATAGGTTGTGAACTCCAGGGTAAAAAGTGTACTTTACTCATTTTTATATACGTAAATCCCAGGACAGAGCTTGGCCCTAAAAAAAAAGTAAATGTTAATTGAAGCTGCCAGTGGAGGGAATTAACAGACACATCTTTTTGCTCTGGTCTACTTTTAATTGTCTCCTACATCATCTTGTTCAAAGGGAGGGACTGCTGAGGGCCTCCCCTGTGGCAATCTGATCCCAGCTCCATTCCTGTTCCAGAGAATGTTATGGTAACTGCCAGCCTATCCCTTTGAGCAACTGTGCTTCTGCCTGCAGAAACCTCCCTTCACCACCCCACTCCCCTTATGGACCTGTTTCAGTAACAAATTTAACTTACAGTCTGAATATGGGGGAAATTCAAGAGCATAAGTACTAAATACAAAATCCAAACTATATCAGGCTCATCTCAGGTATCATATAGTAATAATAGGCATATACTAATAAGTAGTGTTTGTTCTGGAATAGTTGCCAACCTCAGCCTGCAGTGCTGCAGCAGCACCTTCTGCACATCTAGCTCCTGCAATTTGCAGCAAGTCAGGATTGTGTCTGGCATACCTCTTTTAACTGGAAGTCTTGGCAGTGAACTACATTGGAGGCCTTCCCCAGCTATAGC